ATAATTATTATTGATTCTTAATTAATCTGTGGTAGTAGTACATCATTTTGATTGTTTTATACTTAATGATACTTCAGTCTATTTAATGGCATATTCTTCTATGCACCCAGTGACTGCTGTCAACTGTTTGTGAAGTTTACTACCTAGTCTACTGTTTGTATAGTTGTAAAAGTGTAAAGGCTAGGAGTTTAAAATGTTACAATAAAACTTTGAGAAAACAAACATATAATCTATTAATTAATGCCCTGCAAGAGATAGAGAGAGAGAGAGAGAGAAAGAGAGAGAGAGAGAGAGAGAGAGAGAGAGAGAGAGAGAGAGAGAGAGAAGGAAGTGAGCCTTCATTGTGTGAAATGACCATGTTTGGTCATAATAATGGTAAACTCTATAATAACAACGTAGTAGAGAATGGCTCTCATAATGATCCATGAATATGATAGTTTAGTTACACATACACATGTTGTGCTCGGAGCTGCTCACTCTCTACTATTAGTGACTGGATAAAGGAACTACTTCAGTGTATTTGTTCTTTCAATTATCTAGTATTTGTTGAAAAAGGCATTGTTTTTTTCTTTCCTTCTTTCTTTATTGTGGTGTAAGTAATTACTGAAATAGCTACACCTTAAGTTACCTAATTCTCTCATTGTCCTCCATACTATAGTATAAGATGATTGATGTCTCTCAATGGAGAGCAAGTATTGGACTGTGGAACTACTGTCAAGCTGCCTCCAGTAGACCAGCTAATGGCCACCACTCTCACTCATTCAAAGCTGCAGTAGACAGCAAGTCAGGCAGTACTGGATATATACAAGAAGAGAAGAGATGTACACTGCCAGCAGTTCTGTTTATTATTGGTTTTATTGTCATTTATTTTTGTGTCCTTTTATTGAAACACAATTCAATTCCTCCACCAGGTAAATCAATAGCTATACTTCATATGTACATTATACACTGTATGTATCATTAGGTCATTGTTACTGTTATCAACTACAATGTACTACTGGTGATACTGTTACTGATACCCTCCAGTCAGTAGTATTACATGGAGATATTAACATATTCTCTTTAATGTCTCGTCTCCTCCTCCTCTTATCAGGAGATGTTGAACTCAATCCTGGACCTACTGTTGAAGAAGGTTAGTATACATTTATTTATTTATTATTATTATTATATCAAAGCTTGTATAAAGCTACAACAGATACTTCATTCACATTATGATACTTTGGAAAGAGCAACCAGAGGAAGTCTCAGTGACATATTGTCAAAGTTATATGCTAATAATGTTATTACAGAATCAGTAAAAGATTCTGAATCACAGAGCTATAGTAAAATGATGCAGCATTTTAACGCTACACTCTCATTATCAAAAGATGTATCAGAATTAAAGAGACACTGTCAAATGTTTTTGAACTGTATATCTCAAGGTGGACCAACTGATGATGCTGCTAGATTACTAGCAATTGAATGGGAAGGAGTATATAATATACAATCATCAGTGGCGCCATCAGCTTCTACTATAAAATTGACAGGTAGGCTACATGAATTGTGATTATAAATTTATTAATTTAAACTGTAAATATAAATAACTATTAAGTAATAATGTTGTTGCTGATGGGGATCAACATACTGAGCAAATGTTGAATTGTTAATTATTTTGGCATGTGATATTTTCATTGCAATAGTCAGATAATTTTTTATAGATGCTACTCCTCATGTCATAACTGCTCCTTTTGGAAGTGGAGCAAGGGAAGAAAAGTTACACAAGTCCTTAGATGAATTAAATTTGAGGTTTTCAAAATTAGTTAAAGTTTTTAAAATGACATTGCGAGAAAAAATAAAGCACAATAGTCACTTAGTTACTGATGTATCAGAGTGGCTTATAGAATACATGGAGTGGGAACATGATTCAGTAGATAGCAATATTGATGATATTTTAAAGAAAATCCAACCTTATTATGACTTTCTTGATTGTAAACTGTTACTGGACATGAGCGAAAAATTCCTACAAGATGTAACATTCATTGATGGTGAAGTAACTTATAAACTAGTCGATGAATTGCAAAGTCACACATTTATGAGTGTCAAATTGTGTACATCAAACACAGTTTTCGAATTCAAAAAGTGGCTACTGGAACACTTTAAGTCTTTTGAAAGAAACGTGGATAATCTACCTCACATTGACAAACACCTTCAAACTCCCTGGGATGACATAAGTATTGAAGGATTATACAAACTTATTAAAAAGCTGCTGCCACGAAAGCATCTGCATTCAAAAGGTAAATATCATTTATATTATTCACTAAAATAAGTCCACTTTAAAAATATTAATTATTTAATAAAGAGACTCAAGAAAATCTGGAACGTGCTCTTAAAGAAAGTGGATCCATAAAATATAAAGTTAGTGTGGCTATTATACAAGGAGAAGCTCGAGTTGGTAAAACTTCCATTAAATCGTTAATTCTTAAACTACCATACAGTGAAGTGAGCACCAGTTGTATTGAAGCTCCTTGTATGGCATTTGGGAGTTTTTCCATTAATCGATATGGTAAAATGGATGATAACAAGTGGAAGCTAGTATCTGATAATAAAATGGATGACATAGTTATTGCTGAACTGAAAAAAATTGCATCCGGTTTAAAAATTCCAAATGAAATTATACAAAGTCCCACTGCTGCAAATGCATCTGATATCATTAATCCTATTCCTACAACCCCAGAAGCAGCTCTAGCCTCAAATGCAGTGCAAGATCTCAATACTGAAGACAGTGCAATGCCAATTGTTAAGTTACCAGTAGAAAAGGTGGGTGTAGAAGTGCTTTTTGAAGATGGTCTACAAAATTTTGATGTCCTTAAATATCTAAAAAAAAAGCATCGCACTAGTCAAGCTGGTTTTGATAGAGACTGGTTATACTTTTTTGATTCAGGTGGTCAAATACAATTCCAAAAGCTATTGTTAGCTTTTATGCCTTGTAGCTCAGTCCTTGTTCTTGTGGTTAATCTAAGTAAAAATCTCAGTGATCAATCTTCAACATCAATGAAGTTACCTGATGGCACAATTAATGTTGATGAATATTCTCTAAAAGTAGATGATATGCTAAGGCAAGTTGTTTCTGCTGTAAATTCAAATACCAAACAGTTTAGATCAATAATGGAAGGTCAGCAACATATTAAGACACCTAAAAATGAAAAGCTTCAAGTTATAACTATTGGTACACATCGTGACATATACAATAAACAAGGAACAGCAATAGAAGAAATTCAAGCTAAGAGAATGAAATTAAAATCAATTCTACAATCTGAATCTATTCAAATTGCATATACAGATGATGATGATCTCATACATGTAGTAGATGGCTCTAAGGCTAAACGTAGTGAGTTTGATGATGACCCAGCTATAGAAACTATAAGTAAAGCATTAAATGAACAAGCTTATGAAATTGAAGTACCATTGAAGTGGCATTACTTTGGTGTTATTCTTCGTAATGAAGCAAAAGAGAATAATGGAATATTAGAATTATCTTCATGTATAGGGTTTGGTAAATTGCTAGATATGCCAGAAAAAGAAGTCACAAGTGCACTAAACTTTTTTCATGCATTGAAGTTGCTGTTTTATTATCATGATTCACCAGCAAAGGATATTGTGTTTGTCAAGTTGGATGCTGTCATTAACATTATTAGAAAATTGATGATCAAAGTTTGTAAGCCTCTTGATAAATTGGAAGCAGGTCCTGACGAAGTAGCACAGTTAGCTACAAAAGGCTATTTATCAATTGAAGTTTTAGAAAAAAATGCTGGTGCACTTAAGGGTAGGGAAAGCATGCTTTTGGGTTTATTTGAGTACCTTAAGATTGCTGCTTTGATTCCAACAAATAAAAAAGGTGTAGTTTTTTTGATGCCTGCACTGCTTCCTGTCAAAGATGTCTCTGATTCTTCAACATTTTCTAAAACACTTCCACTTCTTTTTTATTTTAAAGAACCAGTGCCCATGGGTCTGTTTTGTGCTGTTATTGTTCAGCTTCTTTCTTATTCTGGTGATGAAAAATGGGACATCATTACTGAAGAACTCAATTTTTCAAATTTTTTTACCATACAGAAAAAAATTGATGAAGACATGTACCAAGTAATACTCGTAGAACAGCTTTACTGCATTGAGGTCTATTGTGAAGAAAGATCCTGCAGACAAAGTGTAAAGGATTCTATACTAAAAGCAGTTGATGATGTCATAAAAAACAAACTGCTGAATGATGAAAAACCAGTTTCAGCTTTCTACTGCCCTTGCATTGATGGAAGAGATCACATAGCTACTGTGAAAGATGATATGTTTATTATTTGTAAAAAAACAGGTAAAAATCAAAAATTACCAGATTCTCAATGTGATGAGTATTGGTCCTGGTTTATAACTGAGCAAAAGGTTAAAGACATGAAACGCAAAAGAAAAAAAAGTAACCCAAGTAGATCTAACACCCTTAAAGGTGAGTATAAATTATGTATAATTTGCAAACCTTATGATTCATTTGTAACTGATACACTTCTACATTCATTCCAAAGGATGCCAGGATATATTTAGGTGTTATTTTGTGTATTTAAATCTAGTTTACATTTTTTTTATTATTTGTGAATCCTTTGTTACGATAGAAAAGGAACTTAATATGAAAACAGTCATGAGAATATTTCATTCTTCTGCTAATTATTACAAGCTAATTGGGATTGGATTAGATGTAAATGTGACTGATCTGAAGCCAATACCAGGAACAGCAAATGATAATCTTATCGAAGTATTCCAGAGGTGGTTTGAAGCTGATAGAGATGTCAATTGGGATGCATTAAGAAAACTTTGTGATGATTTTCCTGATGAACTGGGCAAAGCAAAATCTAAACTTCTGGAATATATAGGTAAGAAACTTAATATTATTATTAAGTCAATGTGTACATTATCAAGTGATCAATATAATCATTATATCTCAATACATTAGGTCAGTCTATGCCTGATAATGTTCATCACCACTCACCAGTTGATGATGTGCCAGAAACTGAAGGTATACATAATAAGAATGCTGCATTGTGAATTTAGCTAGTCCTAAAATTGCTTACTAAGAGTTCAGCTTTGTTATTGATATTTGTATGCACCATGATTTATGGTGAAATGGTACATGCAGCATGTACCAAACATGCAAACTAC